AGCTGGATGAAAAATATTAGCATGATTTTTAGATCGGATTTTTGAGTTTTCTCTTGAATATCTGTCTTGCTATTTTCAATCTTCTTGCTCTGTTTTCTTCCTACTTATCATGAATATCATCACCGATACATTTGCATTATTTGTATAAGCAACATTGTTGTTTAGGCCTTATAATATCAATCTCGCTGTTATCTTCCCTTTTGTTCTGACTTCTTTATCTTCGTGCGTTTATATGTGTATACTTATTTAGGTTTATTTTGTTGATTATTTATGCATTTATATATAATGACAAGAATGTGACTAAAATCCACTAAATGTACAGAACTGCATTCGTTTTAATAGACTACACCTTTTTGCCATTGAAAACGATGAATATATGTCTTACCCTGAACGAATCCAACTGTGTGACGTTCACATTCAGCAATTTATTTTTTAAATTATGCATCTCTAATTTTCAGTGAATTAATTAATTATGAACAAATTTAGCTATTTTAAATGTATAGAAACAGTTATTTCATTTTATTTGTCCCTTAGGTTCCTAGTGGAACATATGGCTTCAGTAGCACGCCTCCATTGCACTCTCTTCTCTGCAGTTTTCAACCCGGCTCCACGACTGCCCATAAGCTTTCATTTCTTCCTCACACGATCTCCTCCATGTCACCCTCGCTTCGGACGTCCTACTCGTCGTATCCCATTCAGGTTCAACTCGAGGGTCTGGTGCGTGATGTCCCCAAACCGTCTTTTCACTGTATATACGAAACAATCCATCTCCACTTTCTTCTGCATATTTATTGGGCGATAGATTCTTGGTTGCTTCGTTGTTCGGCCAGAGTTCCTTGTTGCTTATTCTTATTATTCTGACCATCTCATCTGATCTTCAGTATCGAGTGAGCGTAGGCGACAGCTGTTGATGATGTGTGTCTGTGGTTTGCTGGAAATGCTTTTCGTGACACGCCAAGTCTCTCAACCATCACATAGAAGCACTGACTTACCTGACTGAATTCGTGTTGAAAATCCAGATTTTTTTCTTCATGCTGAGTTGAGTGGAGTAGATCTGGACACTGATTTCAGACTAATGGAGGTGTGTTTTGCTGTCTTCCCGATCCTGGCGTTGACCTCTTCATGTGTGCCACCACCTGTAGTTGAAACGATGCTGTCTAGGTAGGTGAAACAGACTACTTCCTTTAGACTTCCCCCGTTGATGGTGATTGGTGCTTGTTGTCGTTGTTCCTTGGGTATCTTTATCATCTCTGTCTTCTCTATGTTCAGTTGAAGTCCAGTCTTCGCTGCCTCTCCTCTTCTGTCAACTTGTTGGGTTTTTTCTGTAGATCTCCGAGTTTGTGCTACATTGAAGAGAAATCATCGGTGAAATCGAAATCGATGAAGTTGAGGTAGAGTTGAGTTGACTACCATTCTATTCTCTGTTTTATGATGATGCGTAGCGTAGCGTGACGTTGTAATTTGATCCTCACATGATTTGTTTTTCCTGAAGCCAGCCAGCCACCCAGCCAGCCAGCGAACCAGCGTGTTCCGGTCTCAATTTTGAATCCAGCACATTGTTTAGTCTCTCCAGGATGATGCGGCTCAATATGTTGCTTATGGTGGGTGGGGACAGGAGCATGATTCCTCGCCAGTTATTGCAAAGACTTATGTAGCCCTTGCTTGGAGTTTGACAAGGTAGCCCATCTTCCAATCAATCGACAGGTACCTTTGCTTCTCTTCCTCCCAAACCTATTGCAATAGTGATGTCAGCATGTCCACTTATGTCTCTGGGTGTGTTGTCAGTACTTCTGGCGGAATCCCATCTGGTCCTGCCGCCTTACGGGATTGCAGCAGTCTAATGGCGTTCAGGACTTCTGCTTTCGTGAGAGAGCTTGTGTTCTCTGGTAATTTTGTGGTTGGGTTCCTGGTGGTATTTCTAGACGAGTTGCAGGTGGTGGTGCTTCACCATCTTCCTCTTCCTCTCCCCCTGCTCTATCAGCTCCCATGTGTCCGTCGAGATCCACTCCTTGTCTCACCTCTACTTCTTCCTTCCTAACACGATTATGCGGGTTTCCTTCTACGTCTCTTCTACATAGGTTTCCTCAGGATGTTGTTCAATGTCTCCCATTTCGTCCTGATGACTGACTGACTGACTGACTGACGTGAAGATGTCCTTCGTAGTTTCGTCCTTCAGTTGAGTTTCTGTTCTGGGTGTTGAATTGGAACTGTGGTCAATCACCAGTTTCTTCTTTGAAGGCTTTCAACTTGATTTTGAAGACAGGTTTGTTCCTTGGACTAGATAGTGAAGTGAGTGGTGTGAACCTACATCTGCTCCTCTTCTTGATCTGACCTTGTGTCCAGTAGGCTGCGTCTCTACTTTCTTCACATTGAAATGAAGTCGATCTGATTTCTAGTGTAGTGTATGTATCCTGGTGTTTGGTGAAATCGAATCCATGTCGCTGCCTTGTGAATATGCTTGTGTTTGTACACACTGCCTGACTGCAATCACCAAATCATTAAATGTGTAGAAGTCTGCAAATAGTTCTTCATCTCACCGAGTGCTTCTCGACCCATGGTGAGTTCGCCTCTTATGTTGTCTGCTTCCAGTTTGGCATTCATGCCACCCCACCCATTAGAGTGAGTTTTGATGTCACCATGTGGGGTGGGGTCTTGTCTATTACTGATTGCAGTTGTTTATAGAATTCCCCCTTCTCTTCATCTGCATTATTTGTAGGTGCGTAGCATAGCGTGGCGTAGCATTGTATGATTGTAACTTTCCTTCCTTTTGAGTTGATTCCATCTCGCTGTCATGTTCCTGATCGTGGAGGAGGAGATTGGTTCCCACTGCATGAGAGAGAGCCTTCGATGCTCTTGAGGATATCATGATAGCCACTCCATAACTACTCGGTGTGCTCGTGGTTGTCGTCTGGGTGAGAATATCGGAGTAGATTATGACTCTCCAGTTGACAGTTTGGAGAGTCCACTTCGATTTCATCTGCAGATTCTTCGCAGATTCCTAGCACTTCTGTGCTATACCTTGTCATCTGTTTGGCAATCTGTGCAACCTTGCTAGCCATCTTCAAATATTGTGTGGACATTCCATGTGTCCATGTTTACTTTCACTCGCTTTCATCGAGGGAGAGAATACATATCGGTCAATTGGCTTTCTGAAGTCTTTCACCAACCGGTGTCATTTCGTCCGTCTCCCGGACTTCAAGCAAGGAATAAGTTTATTTTTATTTTTTATATTTTGTTTGTGCTTTGAAGTTTGTTTGGCGATTGGATTTGTTTTCCGGGGTAGGGTTGCTAGCTCTATGCCCAACCTTCCCTCTTTCTAGGCTTATATCTAGCTGGTATACTTGTGAACTATTTAACTATTCGATGTTATGGAAACAGTTAGTGGTTGGTATGAATCATCTAAACATACATGTAGCTTATATGATTTTTTACTCAGTGGCATGATCGAATAGATTTTGTTTTGTTGTAGTCAAACTCCATTGTGCTTGGTTCCTTATTTTACATTTGATATCGTGTCAGATTACTGCTTCTTCTCGTCTGATGGGGCTATGCGCATTATTTACTGGTGTTCGTAATGGTTTTAATCCTTTTGCAGATAGCGTGTAATGTAGTCAAGAAGCTGAGTTGCAGGACATTACGCATGCTTTATTTTCCCTTATTTTTAGGAAGTGTTAAATGACGCCCTTCTCTGATGCATTTATCAGTCATGTTATATTATTTCAGGGTGCATGTTTTTCAAACAAATGTGAACTAACCCAGTGAAACCGATTTACAGCTTTCTCATCTTGTTAAAACCGTCTTCCCTTACTTATGATTTCCCATAAACGGTCCAGCTGTATTTGTTTTCAATAAGTGATCATAGTTCGGAGTCATAAAAGAAATTGAACGTGTTTCTATCAGAACTAGCTGTTTATCAAATATTTCAGATGAGAAACTTCAGTGCAGCGTCATAAATAAGTAACTTGTTTGCTATAAATAGCTAAATGATATCCCACTACTTAGTCTACCCAACAGCTGATAGTTGTGTAATCTACTGCTATGACATTTCTGAACTTGTCATACTAAATTTAATATGAAATGACTTTGGAGTTTTGAAGAACTGGAGAAACTTCTTTCGCAATTTTTATTTCTGATTGGTGTTTTTTTCTGAATCGTTCGTGTGCTCTACGAATCTGGTTATTTATAGAATCTTAAACTATGGTTTTTCGCTGTTATCATTGGACTATCTACCACGGGATACCATATTCCTGCTCACCACTTGACAACTGCATAGTAATGTGGCCCTGACACTAATTGTGTTCGGCACCTCAGCGCATTAACAAGTGTCAGGCTGTTGAGTTGTACTTTTCAGGTATTTTTGAAATGAAGTTCTGTGACCTATACCTCAGAATCAATTTATATGTTAGATTAGAGAATAATCCTTCTGTTTCTTCATACTCTGCAGAGAAACTTTCAGACAAAAGGTACCCAATACTTTTCTTTTATAACATCACAATTTATATACATATTTCATTTAATTGCTGATTAGGGTGTTATTTCACAAAAACTTAGAGAACGTTTGACTTTTTGTGACTAGTGATCATGTGTCAGTTATACCTACTGATAGTACTCATCATCTATAGTTTGCGATATGTTTTTCCTAATTAGTCCGCTTCCTTACTGAATTATTTTTAATGATGCTTAAATAGATTTTAGCGAGATTTACTAACGTGTATGTATAAAGACATTATATATTTTTTGTTATTACTTTATTCGTTAAGAAGGATAGCTGAGCATTAGGTTGTCGTGTAAACAGGTTTGTTTGGTATCTTACATTTCATCTTTTGTTTGAATTTCACCTTGTCATCTACTGTACTTTTTCCCTTCTTTCTTCTTCATTCTGTTTTATATATTTCCTTAGTCCTCAAGTCGTTATTCTTTCTTTATTTATATATCTTCTTCGTACATGATTATTGCTCCTTATTATCTAACCTTTTTCATATTTCTGACTTACATTGTAGGTGAGGTGTTTGACTATCTTGTGTCTCATGGTAAAATGAATGAGAAGGATGCACGCTGCAAATTTCGTCAGATTGTATCAGCTGTACAATACTGCCATCAGAAAATGATTGTTCATCGAGATTTAAAAGTAAGTCAACAGTTCATACTCACCTATCACTTACACTATACATTTCCTGTCTTATGGTAATATCGAATTTATAAGCTATACGAGCTAATTAGGCATCTGCAACCTTATCTAATAGGATTTAGTTCTCTGTGATATGATGGAAAATACTAACTGACTGTTCCAATAAACATAGCAGTAAGGCCAAAAGCGACTGCAGAAGCAAATAATTCTGCTTCATTACTTTTTCTCGGACGGTAGTCATCCTCATTTTTAAAAAAGGACCTAATTTTCTATTACAATAGGCACTAGAGATGCATTTAGAGTTACGCTAAAATTTGGTATAGTGAGTTTGAATTAGACAGTTAAATATATTAGTCACTCAGTCGAAGATCCACTTATATCGAGAATGAAATGTTGCTTTGAATTTCTTTCTACATTAAAGTAACTTAGAAGCGTTCATTTTTAAGTGTCTTGTTCATAATTGCCTTCGTGACTAAACTGAATTGATTAATAAGACAGACAGATGGAAAAACTAAAAGTGAATCTGACGTAGAAGTTCATCGGTTCAAGTTGCTATGCTCAGCAGCAGCGCACTGAGAAAAATTGAACATAAGAAGAATGATACTAATTCGGCAAAAGTATGTGTGGGGAGGGAGAATAGTAAATAAGGGTTAATGGAGATATTCAAGACTTCGAAGATGACATGAAATAGGCTCCATTCAGATAGCCCACACCTATCTACATCACTCATAACATCGTCGAAAAACTATGCGTTGTTACAGCTTTTGTTCTAATCACTTTTAGTTCGCTTTCAACCTAATCTCACTTGAGTTAACATTGTGAGTTGAGGTAGGTGGTGACTTAGTATGCTCAAAACCTGTGCAGGATTAAGTTGGTAAAGGTTGACAGCCATGTTGACCGATTGACCTTCCTTACCTAGTACTCATATGAACGAACCCAGCGATAAAAATTTACATCGTTCTCAATTTGTTAAGACTATCCTCCTAAAATAACTTAGATTTTCAGAAACGGTTACCTCAACATATCTCGCATATCGACTCTAACACATGTGACTAATACTACGAAAGAATCTATGGCCAATAAACTTGAATCCTCTTTTTGTAGTCTAATTTCAACGGCCATGTTTGAAATCCGAGCAATCGAACGCCGTGAAGTACAGCACAACAAACTTCTCCCGTTTTGGGAAGTTGGATACCTCGCCAGAGATGGCGAACGTCAAACAGGCCTTCTGTATCCGAGATACGATTTTGCCAAATACCTGCCCATTTAGTCTGATTCAGTTTCTTAAGTAAGTGAATTGGTTAACTCATTCCCAATCCTTCAGCTGAAAATTGGTGTAGACTAATCCCGAAGCATCAACTTGATTTAGACAAGGGCGAAAAGCATGTCAAACATGCTTCGAATCTTTCCCAAGTCTTTCAGAAGACCGTATATTTTGTCACTTTCATCTAACGGCTCCGTGTCAACTGCATTCTCAACCCGTTATGTACAATATGACAGTAACTGGTTTTAGTCATGATACTATTCAAACGGCCTTTGTGACGTAATAAGACGTCGTGGAAAACTTATCACAACTAGGGTAGTCAGTTGAATCATCGAAATATGCGATCCCGACCACCTGTCCATATAGTTTCTGTGCTAAGAATCACTATTACCATATTCTGATCTGTTCATCATTAGAAATATGTGGTAGTCAAATTTGCCTATGGTTCACTGGATAGTACGGTCTATGATGATTTACTTTGTGAGAGGATAAAGTAGGAAGGACTTAAAAAACGTTAAATAAGCTCTTCCATTCACTGCTAGACCTACATACAGTAAAAGGACAGCTTGCGCTATCTTACAACGCTTAGACCTAACCTATCGTAGTGACTGTGAAAGTCATACGAAAAGAACTAGCTTTCCAGATAAATAATAAAAATTAGTGATTTACTTTATTGAAAATATCCTTAATAGCATCACTTGTTGCGCTATACTGTCGCAGATTTTGCGCAGTTTAATTTCTAGGTTGACCTGTCGGTAAATTGTGAATCGTCTCAATCATTAATCCTTATAAGTAACTATTCATCTTTTTCACTTCGATCCACTATGCGAAAATTGTTCTTCAGATGATGAAAAGTGAATGCTAATAGCTAATTTTATACAATTTTCTGCTCCAGTTAAACTGCAACTGGTCTAAAACCATGATTAGTAGTTATATTGCTGATCTAGTCCCAGCTGATCTTTTTTCTGTATGATTTAACTCTGCCTCTTTTGTGAATGTTTTTTTATTCAAGAAACGCAAAGACAGTTAAAGGTTGTTTGTCCGAATCGCCTCATTTTGTAAATGATACTTCGGAGGAAAATGCAGAAAAAATTGACATTGGATACAAATTACAATGACAGTAAGTATCTAATTAAGAACCTATAGGAGCACAAATTTAGACAAGGGTAGGCATAATACGGAGAATCGCAAGTTATCCATTACCAACAGTACGTCAGAGATTGCAGTTAACACACTCAAGGTTAAACTGGCTGATAAAAATCCTGTGTGAATGTGATAGACTAAACTACGATATATTTTATTATTCTCCAATATTATATAAGCTACTAGTAGTTATGACTAACATTTTTCATTTCCCACTATTACGCCATATTTTGTTGTTCTATAGTGATTTTTCTTGTTTGTCTCTTTCATTGTTGTCAGTACTTAGATTTGTGGTTTAGTGATGTAGTCGCTCATTTCTCGATTGCCTGGTACCCTATTGAGATGTCACGTGAGCTACTTCTCTCATAACAACGTAGTTGTGATATTTTTCCTCATTCTATAGATGTGGCTAACAGTGTTGTTTACCAATATTTTACTTGGGTTATTTTCTACTCCACTGTTCACTTTAAATTCGCTTCTTCCCTCTCTATCCACCGTACCCTTCTGCTGAGACAGAAATAAAGAAGCGATTCACCTTATATAGCGCTTGCATTAGGCACTGTGGTCTCAAACAAGCATTATTGATCTCTGCGTACCTATTGCACACATCATTCGCATCAATTCGTGTACCATTCCTCTTATTCTCTCCTTGTCTTGCCTTAATTGCATTGTTTGTCCTAATTGACAATCTGTTTATCTCGTTTGTCATTGAGCATTGTGTCAGTATGCTAATGCCGGTCACTTTCACTATTTTGGATGAATAACGAAATGAAAGACAAATGTCTTGCTTCACAACAAATGTATTATTACCGTATGGTAAACTTTCCATTACTTTACGAAAACAAAATCAATTGAAAAAGACTGATTGAGCGATGAAATATATTTCTTTCCAATTAGGTCTTCATCTTGGACTCTACACTAATATATAGGTTTACAATTTAATCAAATTACCAATCCCGTGGTGTTTCGGAAATAATGATGTAAATAATCAACAGAGTTACTAAAATAGGAAATATTGATAGAAACAAGAAGGGGAAGATGTGCACAAAATAAGCCTAGAAGTTACATCATGTTGACGGCTGCGGTAATGAAAGTGGTCGAACAAACTTCTTTTGGATACAAAGGCTAGGTTTGTAAAGGTGGATTGCAATTGCCTCTGCTATGTGAAGTAACCGAGTGCGTAATCCATGAGGTAAATTAGTTGGAATCTGATGGATAATTTTGAAGGCTTTTCCAGTAACCACTTGATGTCCTGTGTCAACTAAGTGTGCAAGTATGGAGCTCTTTATAGTTCTAATTTGTCCCTTGTTCAACCATGATGGGTAGTGCTCAGAAATTCGACGATGGAACTGCCTCATTGTACGCCCAATGTAACTCACTCCACAAGAACAGTTGAATTGATAAATGCACATAGAAGTGGCAGAATCAGGCAGTTTGTCTTTATTTCTTGCACCTAGAATCGGGCGGTTGTAGAAGGTTGGACATAATTTAGCGTTACCCTTAGGAATATTGGAAGTCTTTACGACGCTACTTGGGTAGACCCAGTGTAAGAACACTGAAACGTCATGCCCTGAATCAGATTGACTCTCTAAGATCTTATTCTACTGAAATGCTGAAAAATGTTACAGAGAGATTTCATGCTGTAGAAGAGCTTCCGGAAAATTTAAAGCAGGAATTTTTGTGTTACGTGATGAATGTGGTCAATGCACGGAAAGAAAAGAAGCTCACTAAGTTGATCAAAACTCTTGAAAACCATACACCAGAGATGAGATTCCCGACTAATCCGGGTCAGCTTATGCATAATTTTTCTTGTATCGATCTGGATTCTACACAATTAGAAGTTTTGTCACTTGTACCAAACTTTTGTGATAGTCGTAATAGAATCAGTAAGATGGAAACGGAAATAAAGTTTGAGAACATGTATACACAAACGGAAGGTTTGATACCATCATCTAGTGAAGATGTTTATAGACTTAAGATTACACTCGTTGACTCTTGCCTAAAGTACACGAGTATTAGGAACAGTATGAAGAGTATTTTAACGAAAAAACATAGAGAAGCCTTGGAAAAGCTTAAAACTAATGCAAATATCGTGATTGCCAAGCCAGATAAAGGGTCAGGAATAGTTTTAATGGTTAAAAAAGAGTACATAGACAAAATGAATTCTTTACTTAGTGATGAAAGTAAATTTCAGAAATTAGCCGTTTATGCTGATACAACAGAGAAAACCGAGAAACGTCTAACTGAATCACTGAAAAGGATAAACAACAAGGTTTCATTTCAGAAAGCACCTTCGAAATGCTGAAACCTACTGGAACCGTTACACCTAGACTTTACGGCCTACCGAAACTGCATAAAAACGGTCTGCCTCTACGACCAGTTCTTGACATGACTAACTCTCCGTATCATACAACAGCAAAATGGTTGGTACAACTTTTGAAGCCTCTCCACAAAGAAGTTGTGAAGTACAGTCTCAAAGATACCTTTGAATTTGTCAGAAAGATTGAGGATCTGGAAGTAGATAATAAGTTAATGATTTCGTGTGACGTTTCATCTCTTTTTACTAACTTTCCTTTAATGGAGACAGTAGACTTTATTTGCAACGAACTCACGAAGCACAGCATGGAAATAGGTATTCCAGTCCCCACATTGAAAGAACTACTTCTGAGGTGTACGATGAATGCACAATTTCTTATCAACAATGAACTCTACCGGCAATCTGATGGTGTTGCTATGGGGTCACCCCTTGGCCCACTCTTAGCAGATTTTTTTCTGGCAAAACTTGAGAATGGTCCACTGAACGATACTATAAGCCGTTTAGAGTTATATTGTCGTTACATGGATGATACCTTTATAGTTCTCAAAAGTGAGACTGATAAGAATGCTGTTCTGAATAAGTTCAATAGTGTTAACCCGGCAATCAACTTCACAATGGAAGAGGAGAAAAATGATAGTATCCCATTTCTTGATGTTCTGTTGGTAAGAAGGTCAGATGGAACCCTGAAGCGAAGTGTTTATAGAAAACCAACATCAACAGGTCAATATACGCACTTCTTTAGTGCTGTACCCCTCCAATACAAAAGGAACCTAGTGAAATGCTTAGCATACCGTGCATCAGCTATTTGCTCAGAGGATGCTATAAAGGAAGAGTGCGCCACCATCCGTGATCTGCTTAGTAGGAATGGCTACCCAGACAAGTTTGTAACTAAGCACATGAATATTACGAGGGTTAAGACAACAGTTCCTAAGAAGCAAATCTTCTTGAAGCTGGAATTTAAGAGTGATATTGCCAGTGAGATCATCACACAACGCATAAAAAGAGTCTTGCATAAAGCATTCCCAGCCGCTAAATTATGTCCAACCTTCTACAACCGCCCGATTCTAGGTGCAAGAAATAAAGACAAACTGCCTGATTCTGCCACTTCTATGTGCATTTATCAATTCAACTGCTCTTGTGGAGTGAGTTACATTGGGCGTACAATGAGGCAGTTCCATCGTCGAATTTCTGAGCACCACCCATCATGGTTGAACAAGGGACAAATTAGAACTATAAAGAGCTCCATACTTGCACACTTAGTTGACACAGGACATCAAGTGGTTACTGGAAAAGCCTTCAAAATTATCCATCAGATTCCAATTAATTTACCTCATGGATTACGCACTCGGTTACTTCACATAGCAGAGGCGATTGCAATCCACCTTTACAAACCTAGCCTTTGTATCCAAAAGAAGTTTGTTCGACCACTTTCATTACCGCAGCCGTCAACATGATGTAACTTCTAGGCTTATTTTGTGCACATCTTCCCCTTCTTGTTTCTATCAATATTTTTTTTTCCTATTTTAGTAACTCTGTTGATTATTTACATCATTATTTCCGAAACACCACGGGATTGGTAATTTGATTAAATTGTAAACCTATATATTAGTGTAGAGTCCAAGATGAAGACCTAATTGGAAAGAAATATATTTCATCGCTCAATCAGTCTTTTTCTAAAATAAATTGATGCTAAAATGGACGATGATCGAAGGTGAAGTGAAATCTGGGCCGTGGCAGGATTCGAATCAGCGACCTTCTGGTTATCTGTCCGGTGCTCTACTAATTGTATCACGAAACTCACGAAGGGAAATCGAGATCTGATTAGCACCCAGGTCTCGTAGTTTAGCTGCTAGAGCACCGGGTCAGTAATCTGCAGGTCACTGATCCTAATCACACTTCTGCTCAGATTTTCATTTCAATGTCAATCATCATCCAGTATCAATGCAAGTCTGCCAAACCACAAAAATAACCACAATATGTAGATGTAATTCGTGTGAGTCATGTAATATTTTTGTGCCACACATTTCGTGCAATATGATCACATACACTCCTCATAGAAACTTATTTACAAAAATAATGAAGATTCAAGGGGTAGGAAGATTGAATATAGGTCAAAGGAGAAGACTGTGTTGAAGGTCAAAATAATAATGAAGATCAATAAAGGAGAAAATAATAGTACATTAACTTTGGGCTCAATTGACGATAAAAATAGCATTGTTTTTTCTCTGTCTATACAGATAAATCACTAATCTTTCTAATGTTACACTATCTACTTATCAGAAGAAAGGTTTATCCTTTGGGTCAAAATCCCGGGTTCCTCGCATGCAGTTTTCAAGTTTGGCTTTCCATACAGTTTGAAAATCGTTACGTTCAACTTAAGCTACTTGTTCTAACTTCAAGTGATGATCGGGTTTGGGTTAAGATCAAGTTGATGGATATAAATAATCATCTCTCGAAAACTCATCCGAGACAGAAAAGTATTTTAATGTCAGAGCATTTCGGAAATTTGAAAGAACAACAACGAAATTCTGATGTAGCCATTCTCAGACCTGACAAAGGTTCAGAAATCGTGATCATGAACAAAAGTGATAGCAAATGTAAGCTGTCATTTGTCCTTGATGATGGAAGTAAATTTTGTGGAGATTATTGTTCAGAAGATTTGCAAGTATTTCAGGGAATAAGGATAGCTAATCTAACGAAATTTCTCAGCTTAAATATTATTTCTAAAGACAAATTCGATGCACGAAATTGAATAGAATCCGAATTCCGATATTTATATGGTCTACCTAAATATGCTTAAACCCGGTTGTCTGCTACGACATATGTTTTTAATGTGTAGATCAACACATAAGCTTGGTCAGCGGCTAGTGGAATTATTGGAACCAAATAAAAGACAGTATTGTAAGTATACTTTGAAAGATCCATTTGAGTTAATTGATTGTCTTAATGGTATTAACCTACGAAGTAAAACTACCCATTTGATTTTAACTCCGTATTCACCAATGTTCTCCTGGTCAAAAGCAATTGGCATGTTTTGTGTTTGCAATCAATCACAGCTCCTTACTCCTCTCAAAACATATCCTTTTTTAATGCAATAACAATGTAAAGTTTATATTTAAGAGCGAGTATCTTTGTCAGATTGATGGTATCACTATGGGAATCCCCTTCAACTCCCTTTTATCAGATATTTTCAAGTTGCATGCTGAAAAGATACCTGAGGAATTAATCGAAAAAGTGCCGTTTCATAAAAGATGTTATCCTCATCATAATGATGATCCATGTTATGCTACTTCAGTTCTGAATCGAATGGACGATGTATGGAATAATATACCCTTAACGAGCGTGGAGGAGAACGATAACTGCCTGTCTCTTAGATTCACTAATCAGTCAACTGTGAGACGGATCAATAAAATGATCTATCTACAGAGATCCTACTTGGAAAGAGCACTATTTAGATTATCATAGTTTCTGTTTAGCTCAATATCAATGAGGCTTGATGCGGTGCTTATTTAATTGAATTCAACAATTATTAACAGTCGATACTTTGGAAGAATAGATTAAATTACTGATGGAGGCGCTAATTGAAATTTATAAGTCGAAAAAAGCAGATAGAGCATTAAGCTGTACTGTGCATTCTATTCCAAAGAAAGATATACTCATCAAGCTTCCGTACACTGGTAATGCAAATAGCTTGATAATCATACAGAAACTTAACGCTGCCGTCAATAAACCATGTTATGCAGCTAATTTTCGGATAATTGAAAATTTGAAGCTTAAGTATCCAATTTTTATGCCAGTTTAAATGTTCATATGATCGTACACACACACACACACACACACACACACAGGGAGAGATTATCGATCTTTGGAAATAAGGGTCATGTAATACATTCCAAAGTGACTGGAAAAAATACGTGACCCTATTATTGCTAGAAACTAAAGTCCGGGTTCTTCAGTTCCTAAACGCATGATTGAAACGGGCATTAAATGGATGTACGTCATTTAAACCCATCTGCCAAACCTTTAAGGGAAGTATTTTCAAGGTTGTCGAAGCATTAGGCATTAGGAAGCTTCAGCCATCTTTATGCGTTGAAAAATAACTTGTCGTTATATAACACCTTACTTGGTAAGTTCGGTTCTAAACCCAAGATCAATGTACCATTATTTTCTCCTTTATTGATCTCCATTATTATTTTGACCTTCAACACAGTCTTCTCCTTTGACCTATATTCAATCTTCCTACCCCTTGAATCTTCATTATTTTTGTAAATAAGTTTCTATAAGGAGTGTGTGTGAAATGTGTAGCTCAAAAAA